AACGAATTTAGTGGTTTAGTATACGAATGTTGGGAGATAGACTAAAAGAAGAAAATAAAAAGATTTCATATTTCTAAACTATTCTGTGCATGACTTTATTAACAAGGTCCAATAGTAAAAGTTAAAATGTCTTATCGGACATATGATTTATTATTTGAACGATTTTGACGATTGTAATTTCAGAGAATTAACTTATAACATAGGTCAATCTACTTCATATATATGAGTCTATATAATCTTCACATTTGTTTTGCTGCTTGGATTTCCAACATCATGTGGAGTAGAATGTTTTACTGAATATCCTACAATTGTGTCTATAATTCCAACATCAAATCAGTGCTCTTTTATGGATGTAAGAAGTAAAAACGCACTACCGTCTTCAACACACGTATAAGAACTGTTTTCAACAAATGTGCTTGCGTAAGATTCGCAACATCTGGTAGTAATCGTATCAGCAATGCTGATCCTTAGGGTGTCACCAACTAATTGTCAACTTCTGAAGAAGTATGCATACCCGTATTGGATCAGTTAACCCTTCGCAGACACCCTGGTAGCACTCAAATGGAATCCCATGGGTAGTAGCCGTCGTGTTGGGGCGCCTACTAGAACATGACAAAGGACTGTTTAAAAAAACTAATAATGATGATAAGCATAGAGCTCTGCAAGTTTATCAGTTTGGAGTTAAAGTCTTAAAATAAAAAAGAGAACTATTATTTTTCTTTATTTTTATACATATTTTGTAATAGACCAGTTTATTTTATTTACTGTTTCTTAAAACAAAAGTACTCATTTTACATATGTAGTTTATCCATTTAATTATAAAATTGAATGGAAGTACAAGATTATATCTATTAAGTTCAATAAAATAATTTCATAACAGTACTGGTGTTATTTATTTGTACTTGTAAAGAGAAAAATAAATAAAATAAATTCGTTTAAATTGATTTTTTTGTTTGACCATCAATATCAGACTTGACTTCAATATCAGATATTGTTGATTGTTTTATATTTTTCCCTTTTATTGCATTTATTTTAATATTAAAATCTGCTGAATTCACAAATTTTCGCAATCTGCGACCAAATCCAATTCAGCCTATCCCTTGCTGGCGCTTTGGGTCGGCAACCTTCTTCAAATAGCAAAAATTTGTTTAAAAACGAAATGGACATGTTTGTACTCAATGGAGACCCATTTTATTGGTTTGATGTAGGTCAACTGCAATCGAAATTGATACGAGTTTCTGTTTTTTACACTATTTTTACGCTTGTATTTTTTGTAGATTTGCCAAAAAATCGTTTTTCTTATCTGCTGTAAATAACGACGATTATCATTGATTTCTTGTTTGATGGCCATGTCATTTATTGAAAAGTGACATTTCCAGCAACACATTCTTACAACAATACTGCTGGTATCTTCCTGTGTGCGGGCACATTTGCCACAAATGTCACGTTTCAATGGTTTCCGGCCACTTATTGTGCGATTCTAATTCAATAAGTGACTTTTATGTTACTGAATGAAGTTCTCAATAAATGCCAAAGCAAAGTTAACTGAATTACGCTTTCAAGTGGAGTACTGAAGTGCTGGAGCAAAGAGTGGATCCCGCAAATTATGCTCGTATGGCGCTGTTCACGATATGCCTGATATGGTACATTTTAATATAATGCCATTTCGGGTATGCAATATAATGGCCATCAATATTGGCCAAATAAAAATTATTGTAATAGAAAACAAAGGAAATTAATCACTTCCACGCTTCAAGTTATAGTTATGCTACTAAGAGCTAATAGTTTTATGCAAATTTCTGTTATTGAGAAAAGTCGAAAATTCAATTGTTGAGTAATTATTTTAATTCAAGCCCTTAATTCCATAACACGCAATTTTTCCAAAAAAATATTCTTTATTGTGATTTTTTCTACTTCAAGTCGGTATACCAAATGCTGATGATTTTTAATTTGCATTGCAGTAACCACCACTTCAAATCTCGAGCTACTCTCAGCTCGAAAAACTTAAAGAACAGCACGTGCTTAATTCTTTTGCTGGTAAAAATGCATGAAGCACTTCTTCAAATTGCTCTGAAATTAAAAAAAAAATAAATTTTGTTGTATTTATTCATTTCAGCCTTAATAGAAACTGACACTTAACAAGTCTTAAATCAGTCAAATCAAATGCAACACTCAAGTGTCTCTTAGGATTTGTTCTGTCCCACAAAAATAGATTTCATTGTGCAGCCTTGAGTGTAATGCTATTTGAAATTCACTTTTATATACTATATGTATGTATATGAATATATACTATATATGTGAATATATATGTAAGTGCAGATATATTGCTAATTATGCAGACACATTGACGATGAACTCACTTAGAAGCAAACAAGGGCACTCATGGAAATAAAAGAAACACCGCATACAATTTACGACGAGCTTGTATTTGCATCCTCTGAACTCCTTTCACAAGGAACCTGTGCCATTTTATCCTTTTTTTAACAATTTCACTAAGTGAATTAATGCAATGTCAGGTATTACTGGGGGCAAGTGCAATTCATTGAAATGTTGCACTTGTGCAATTAAATTGAATAGAATTCTTTATTTAATCTAAACCGAACAGAGGTGAAATAATTGGGTTAAAATAATTTTCAGAGGTCTTTAAATATGTAAAAAATTTAAAAAATTGGTTTAAGGGGAATATTCTCAAAATTAAACTTAAAATAAATTTCGATGGTATATAATTTGTAATCACTACTGGGATAATATACCAAGATTAAAATAATCCAAATCACTAATTGGTAGCTATAACAACAAGAGATACCAGGATTGTATGAACCTATCAAAAGAAAAACTTAGAATCATCACAGGAATCCTAACAGGGAACTGTAAACTAAAACACCACCTCACAAAACTGGGTATATATACGGATGCAAACTGTAGACTCTGTGAAGAGAATGAGGAATCGGCAACACATTTGCTATTAGAATGCCCTGCGCTAATGCACATACGTAATAGGCTCCTAGGAATGTATATTCTTACTGAAGAGGCAATAAAACTCTATAAAGTAGATTCTATACTACTTTTTATTTGACGCAACAGGGCTTAAAGACCTACTCTAAGCTCAGAAGTGGGCACAATAGACCCGACGGTCGCAGTGCCACATCCCCTAACAGTATTCATAATAATAATAATTTGGATTCAACGCAAAAAAATATGGTAAGCGGGTTATATCCCTTGCTTAATTTCTTATTAAAATCTTCATATAATTATGCAGTTTTTCCACTCAAATTTTGTTCCAAATAGTAAATTTGGTATATAATCAATAAATTAATTAACTAAAGTAATTTATTAAAATTCTTACATCCAACTATACTTAGTACAAACTGTATTTTTTACTAGACACATAAAATAATAGCCCTATAACAGTTTTAAAGCCACATCAACTTTTTATGGATTCAATAGATTCTTGGTAATTACTTTTGGATTGTTGACTTATACACTGTTCCACATCCGCAAATTTTGTTCATTCATGTATCTATCATGCGAAAACTGACTCTCATCACTGAAGAAAATTCAACACAAATGTAACTACTATAGAATCATTCTCTTCATAATAAATTTTCAAATTTTTAACATATTTGGCGGTAATTAAATGATTCATATTGTAAAATGGCAAACCTCTTACGAAACACGCTATACTTTAATGTATATTTCTATTTAATATATATATCTTAAATAAATGGACACTAAAGTTGTTTGTGTTTTTTCCTAATGCTTGTCGATATGCATTACTTTGCACAACGTAGCTCTGCGTAAAGTAGCTCTACTTACTTATATTAAGTAAGCTGAGAATTTGATTTCTCCAAACAGTATCACCGCTTAGTAAGTTTCTTCTCCAGTTATAATTAGCACATGCAAATAAAATAAAATTAAAACCTATTGTGTTACTAAATACTACTTAAGTTCATTGAGTTATCATCCTATTGCAAGTATTATACCTATATCACAACTTTTTGCAATGTATCTCGTCACTTTTGCATTTGTATACGAAATATGTTCCTGCTGCAAACTTCAATCCTCCAAGAAGTGTCACCGTTTAGTTAGCTTCTGTTCCAGCTATAGTTAATTCATGATTATAAATTAAAAACATAGTATGTAGTTATTGTAACTCGAGCAGTTTTGCTTATATAGTCCCTGTTAAAATTGATGTGCGGCGCTTTGCTGTCGTAGTGAACGAGGGGCCCCACGTCATAGATCCGGCTGCTCAAGAAAGCTTAATCTTTTTTGACAATTTTTGAATTGTCAACTATGCTGAAATTTGATAATGAACTAGAAAAGCTCCATCTATTCAAATTTTTCTCCTAGTCTAATTTTTTAACATTATGGCCTGGTTGGAATTTGTTATAAATCTGAAATAGTTCATATATCCGAATAAGTGATATTTTTTGTGTATTTCCTGACTTTCTGGTTACTTTTAAAATACCCAATATGATTCCAGGTACAAGAATTTCAGGTACCAGTCCATAAAAATGGCAAAAACATATAAGTAAACTTAGATATCACATTTTATTACCTTCATATAAAACCTTCCGATTTCAATAAAACTTTTAATAAAATTTTAATACGAAAACCTCATAAATAACATAATTTTTAGTGTTCATATTTTATACACAATTTTCGTTCTTATGAATAAAATAGTTTATCATAATTAGCCCACATTACATGTAACTAAGTATATAATTAAAAAATATATTTCAATGGTTGTAGCAGTGCGTAACAATATGTGTGTTAATAAGATATTATCTCTAACCGCAACACAGTCTACAGACACAGTTCACACGTTTTATTAACGAAGTTAAGTAATTCAATCCGGTAATGATATGAATGATCCACCGCAACTGTCAAGGAAATGATATAATTCAATGTTTTCCAAAAGGTCTTAACCGAGACTTTACATAATAAATACGAGTATTTCTAGTAATGAAGACAATGAAGTGCAAAATAAAAATGATTATGTATAAAATCTAATTCTACTGCACCGACAATCTTTATGTGGTAAAGCAACAATAAATTAAGTTTGAACTAATTTAAACTACATCAAGATGACCCTTTAGAAGATTAAATGGAAGTAATTCTAAATTTTCAAAACCACTTAATTAAATATTTTAAATTTCTTTTATTGAATCATATGCAATTATAATCATAAATATAACAGCATAAGGAGTACATGTTATGATTATTATTATGTAATGTCCAGAATTAGTGTTCTATCAAAACAATCATTTTGGATCACTCGTAATGGATTTTTTATCCTCATTTAAAAAAAAAATTAAAGTAATAGATCAAACCTCTTTACTTTTCCATCTATTACCATTTCATTTGCCTCTTTCTTCTTGGTAATGGCGTAGTCTGGATTACCATTCCTCTATGGATATGACACAGCTTCGTAACTTAATTTCCAATGAAATTAAAACAAAGTTAGGGAACGAAATTTACCTTAAACTATAATATAGTTTCTGCACTTAAAACGAATTTTTTTACTAGTCATCTGAGGTCCAAACCGATTGAGTTGATATTACATAGAAATTCTCTGAATTTAGAATATACTATTGTATTAAAAAGATTTGTTCTGTTGTTTTTCGTTAACGATGTTTGTCATTTAAAAATCCAAAGCCATCTCTCATAAAGACTTTTCTTTAAAGCCTAGTTTGTACATAAATTAGTATTGACTCGAATTTTAAGTTTAAATCATCTTAATAAAGAGGTTTGTTGGTGAAAAAAGATAAAAACATTCAGAATGCTTAAACACATTTTAAAAAATTATTTAAACCGGTAATAGGAATCGGTAAAAGCTAGGTCTTAATATAACATATGTGTTACTTATTGAAACTACAAAACTTGGCTTTTATAATTTTTATTAAAACATACCAAAAGATACCTACATACCAATAGATTTTAAATGGCATACATCTGGTTAACAGGGTATAAACTTCCAGACTTATGATATGATACATGTATATCAACAATCTTCGCACACAATTTTAGTACTGGAATCAACTATTACAAAGATGCAACCAATATAAAAGTTATGATATATAGCACTTATAAGCCTCTTTAAAGTAATTTTATTCATTATTAATATATTGGAAAAACAATTCTCATATACAATATTTTGTCGCAATCATAAATGTACATATATCAATCATTAAGTAATTGATTTTTTTTTAATATTACCTCAATACATAAAATATCCGATACTAGTTTAGGGTCTAAAGTTCAGTTAAAAACTAGGTGCGGTTGAAAGTATTCGGGAAGATTTATGCATTCTGTACATTCTTGACCCAGAATTTGCAGAAAATTATAAACAGTCATTGTTTACTGTATTACGTTTCTTAAAATATATTATACTACATTTATACCAGTCATATGTGAAATATTCTATGATTTAAGTATCTTGAACCCCACATTTTAACTCGCTCCACCCCTAATCAATATTAGCAATATTATCAGATGTTATTAGTCTTGTTGTGATTGAATGTTTATTTTAATGTGTTAGACTTGAACATTTTTTTCATCAGTTATATATATATAACTTCTTATACTCTAGCAATAGCTGTAACTGTATCATTAACAGTTAGCGTTAAAGTATGTCCGCTGTGTTTTTTTTTTTTTTGTGAAAATCCGAAGTTTCCAGATAGAAATACTAGTTTGTTATGGCTGTTAAAATTTCGTTTCACATTTGTTGAATTCTATCAGTTTCAGTTTCTATCGATGAGTGATTTTTCCTTAGTATTTGTAGATTTCAATTATATCTCAATTTTATGAACAAATAATTGCTGTTGCCACGGTATCTATATGTAAGTATTACCCGTCTATATCGATTTCAAGCTTTTTATATAACATTCTTTTCTCTCTCTCTGAAATATTGCCAATTACTGTTAGTATCATTAAAATATTGTAATAG